TTATACCGCTAACCAAACCACACTGCTAACAGTACCATGGTGCTAACAGGACTATGTTGCTAAGAGAACCTGACTGCCTCAATGGCGAGTTGAGACGAGACAGTTCTTCTTGTCCTGAGCATTTCATTGCATTGTTGACCTTGTGTTGATTCTGCATAGGACAAATAAACCTAACATTAATAGTTATGTTTGATTACCTAAATGCTAATAAAGGACATATTGAATTATTTAAGAAATATGCAAGTTCATAGTTGATCTGTTTTACATTTTACTTGATTGTTTTTAATTTTCCAGTCTTGGGTGGATGGGTGGTTTTCTGTACTTCAGGTATTCAAAATGTTAGAGCCTTGAGTGCCCTCTAGTGGTTGTCATTTAAAACTACTCCTCACTGTCATTTATGGTTTTTGTTTTCTCCAAACTTCTTTTTCTTTAACAGGTCAATCCTCCTTGGTTCCAGAGGTTTAGACATCTTCCACATTTCTCAAAGACTGGAGAGTTTAAGTGCTGCCACCACTTTTGAGCCTCTGGAGCCAGTCAAAGATACTGACATACAGGTATGAATCAAAAAGTAGACTTTTGCGTCAACTGCTAGCAAGCTTCAAATACTGTACCAGGTTGTTATATTTACATCAGGTAATCTTGCTAGTGAAAAGCTCACCTATTAGAAGGTTTTTTTGGCACTGCAAATAAACTGAAAAGCTTTGTTCTTATTCATATTTTTATTTTTGATGCTGCTGTCCTCTTAATATTAGATTAAACTGGTTATCAGCAGGGTGTTGAGTGAAACTAACTGTGGGTTAGGGCTAGGATTATGGAGACACCATCAGAATGATTGATGTATGGTTTGTCACAAATATTGACTAAATAATAATAATGTGTATGTATTGTCACCATTGTATGTTCCCATACATGGCAAAATTGGATCTCTGCATTTAACCCATACACCACCAGGTGGTGCAGATCGAACCTGGGACTTTCGGGTCTGAGTCGGTTACCGTGCCTCGACACCATCTGACCCGATTGTAACAACTTTTTAATGATTATTTTTGATTCTTCAGCTTTATTCACCTGGAATAAAGCATCTTGTTAAGACTAAGAGTCATATTTCCACTTCAGTTTGCACTTGTTGACAGTTTGCTGATAGGCATAAAAGGTTCAATCTTTTTGTGTTCCTGTATTTGATTGAAGACATATTGTTGCAAATTTAACTACTGTAGTTTTTCTGTGTTTATAAAGCCAAAGAAGCAAGCAATTTGTTTTGATGTTACTGTACTAATTGATGTAGAAAATTTCCATGGTAAAAAGATGAACTTTAAGATAAGATAAGAACTTTATTGATCCCACATGAAATTTGTTGCATTCTATGGATAATAGTACCCATAATTTTCATAAAAAATAATCTTTAGAGGCTTAATGATATTGAGGCTGTAGAAAAACTGGCAATGTTCAATATTGTTTAACTTTAAGATGACAATATTATTAGCAACAAATCCACATTTTCCTCACTCACTTTCTCTTCTTCTATCTAAACAGCTCACCAAGGCTAGTAAGACTGACCAAAAATGTTGTTAGCATGCAGAAATATCATTTATTGGCATCCAAGCAGTCCTCTGTAAAGTTGATATCTCATTCACTGATTGTGATATATTGTGCAGCCTCAGTGAAAATCCATTAGGCTGAAACTTCTGCTATAAAAAGAAGAAAAGTTTGAAAGTGTTTGTTTCACATTTTGGTTAAAACAATGTAACTTTAATTTATGATTAACAGAGCCTGTGTTGAAAGTGAATGGCCATAACTTGAAAGTAGTCCCCATCCACCCTCTGCTGGATACATTGTACAATTACCGTAAGCCTTTTGAAAGTAAGCACACGGCTTACTTTATGTAAGTGTTCATATTGGCGCACAACGGGACAATTATTACCGATACCAACCTGAGTGAAGTTGCCCCCCCCCCCACTCCCACCACCTTCTTCATATTTAACCAAATTGGTGTCAAACGTTTGTGCAGTTTAAAAATGATAGCTACACAAACAAAAACTGTACTTTTGTACTTTTTGACCTCTGGAAACATTAATGTTTTTAGAGGTCAAAAAGTACATTATGTTTGATAGCACCCCCTGGTGATCAGAAACCAAAATGCAGGTCATTGTTTTTTTTTTTTTTTTTGAGGTGTTGTACCATCCATCCATCATCGTTTACCCGCTTCTTCCATTTTGGGTCACAGGGGTCACCGGTGCCCATGTTCAGCAATCACTGTGCAAGGGGCGGGGTACACCTTGGACGAGTCGCAACTTGCGACTCGCAAGTCCATCACAGGGACTCATGGAGACAAACGAGACAACCATTCACTCTCTCACTCACACCTAGGGACAATTTAGAGTTACCAATCAGTCTAACATGCATGTTTTTGGTCTGTGGGAGGAAACTGGAGTACCCGGAGAAAACCCACGCATGCACGGAGAGAACATGCAAGCTCCACCCAGAAGTGCACCCAGACCGGGATTTGAACCGGGGACCTGCTTGCTGAGAGGCAACAGCTCTACCAGTTGCGCCACCGTGCTTGGTGTTGTACCAGTTCATCCTAAATAAGACCTAGTTCAAAATGAATTTCATCCTTGTTAAATTGAGTCTATTCATGTTCATAGTTCAGCACCTAACCATTTTTAAATGAAATTCACAGTTCCAACATGAGCAGATTTTTGTTGACCTTTGATGATCTCTGGACACTTTTTTTATTTATATCTTTATAATCACAAACTAAAATTTTTGCTGCACAAACCAGCACGAACGTTTGACACCAATTTCGTCAGATTTGAAGAAGGTGGGGGGGTCAACTTCACTCAGGTCTGATACCAATACGTCCCCAAATGCCTATATTGGCCTAAATATCGGTCCTACTGATATATCAGTTGGGCTTTAATGATTGTTTTGACTTTTAGAAATAAATCTATGGAATAATAGAAAAATAATTTGTAGAGTATGCTGCAAAATTAAACTATAAATGTTTTCTTCTTGTAATTACTAGTTGTCTGGTGTTACTAACATGTGGTTTTACACCAGAGCAGTATAATTTAGTGAAATTAAAACTAATTTACAAAAGTTACTGCATTTTTCCTCATTTTGATTTCCACAGCTTTGATTCTCATTTAACACCATTTTTATAGACATGTTTTTGTCTTGTATTTTCATTTCATCTGTTTTTTTAAAGTACTTTACAGTCTAATGGAGTTTTCTTTTATACTTTTGGTCATCCGGATGTGTTCTGGCTTGGTTAGGTTTGACAGATTGACTGGAAGAGCACTTAGCTTTTGACATGTGCACACACGCACACGCTCACACACTGTCTCTTCACCCTTCCTGCTGTTTTTTTTTTCCCAGTATCTTCAAGTAGACAGTGGCGACTGGCAGCTAACACTGTGTATAGTTATTCAATAAACTCGAATCAAAAGAAAATCTGTTGGGTCCAGGCCAGGGGGATTGTTTTAATGGAGACACTAAAGATTAGTTATTATTATTTATTTATGCACAGCTGCCTTTAATAAAAAAAAATAAAGTGATAATTGTTATTGTAATTGCATGATTTTGCTCTAGTTAGTACAGACACAAGATGCTGATTCAGCTAGGAAAAAAAGTCACTGGAAGATTCAGCTTCAAAGTAAGTTTGATCAAAGTTCTGCTCTACTGTATGTTTTTTTTTTCTTTTGCATACTTCATTTATTTACTTATTGGTGGAAATTTGAGTTTCATAACATCAAAAACTTTGCTGAAAAATACGCAAACTTCTTAAGATTTAAAACCTATTCAGACAATGGTATCTATAAAGCAGTCTGAACTGTATCAAAAAATGCAATGAACCGTCTGAGATTAGTTATATTGATGTTAATGTAGATGTGGGACAGACGTGACAAACTTAGTTTATACTATACTTGTAAATGAAAATAACTTCAGTAGCAAAAAATTGTATTACCGGTAACTCGTTTATAAATAATAAGAATATAATTCTGGTGTTACAAAAAATAGCATGTAGAGACATGAATGATCTGAAATCTTTTAATACTTTCAGGCTGAACAAAAACTTTTCTCTGACTTTAAAGAATATTTTTTAAATGCATTCAGTTTGAATATGTGTGTTGGAGAGGAAAAAACAATAACTCACTTTCGCTTAATTTCTGTCTGGACTTGGGGTGAGACACATTTGCTTCCGCTCACAAATTGACACTTCTTCACTCCACTTTGAATTCAATCTGACTGAACCATCCATCCATTTATCTGTTTATTCGTCCAACCCATTAAATCCATTTCAGGATTGTTGTAGCACAGAGAAGCTCAGGCTCTCTTGTCTCCAGTAATTTCCTCCACAGATGAGAGACGATATCCCTTTCAGTCAGTCTGGGTCGAACCTGGGGGTACAGTGCAACTGGCTGCATCTGGGAAATATCTAAATGTAAGGGTTTACCAGGATTTTTGTTCAAGTGGCATACAATGGTACTTGAAAGTTTGTGAAGCATTTATAATTTTCTATATTTCTACATAAATTTGATCTAAAACATCATCAGATTTTCACACCCATCCTAAAAGTAGATGAAGAGAACCCAGTTAAACAAATAAGACAAAAATATTATACTTGGTCATTTATTTATTGAGGAAAATGATAAATGATCCAATATTACATATTTGTGCTTGGCAAAAGTATGTGAACCTTTGATTTCAGTATACTCATAATGAGCTAGCTTTTTAAATCTGGTCATACTGTGATGGAAATAATGTGCAGTTCTCTTCCATCTTTCTTGTATAGTAGTGCATTTTGTGATTATTATTATTATTATTTTTTAAATCTGTGTAATTGGGAATTTTTTTTTTTGTAAGGGTGGATGCTGGGAGGATGATACACTTGTGCTCCGTATGTCAGTAATCTATTTGGCAGTTCAAAAATATTCTCACTGCACTGACTGGCCACACCCAATTTAGACAAGAGTGGTTGAGATGCTAAAGCATACAGAGTGTTGTGTCATCATGACTGAAACAGAAGTGAGAAGCAAGGAAACGTGGGTTTGGATTAGTTTGTTTTCTACAAGTCTTATATTTATTGTTCGCAGCTGAATGGTGAAGGTGAACAAAACTGCTTTTGCCCATGTCTGTGTGTGTGTGTTTGTGTCTGTCTGTCACCAATATATCATGACATACTGAACACTTAAATAAAACTTGCAGAAAGTAAAGTTGGACGTACTTTTGGATCTGATTGCAGTATTTTTCGAATCAACATAATTCAAGATGGCACTGAAACGCTATAACTCGGCCATTTTTACAGATGTTGAGCTAAAATATAATGTGGTAGTCGTCTGTTGATGCAGCGGCTGAGTCCAGTTAAGCTTCAGGTGGGTCGCTGGCAGTGATCAATCTTACTTTGTAAAACTTCTTTCAACTGTCCGGTCAGCGGCGGTCAAACAGCCGCACATAGTTGGTGATCCAAACTGGATCGTCAGCCACACCCGTCTGCTGACACAATCAAAAGCCTGACACCGACCCACTCATCCATCCAGCACATAATTTTGGC